CTGAAAGCTGCCACAAACTGAGGATCCAAGGCAGAATCATAACATGCAAATGTGTTCATGTGTTCTTATAGTGCCTGTCACCCAGTATACATTGTCATTTCCCCCCCATGACTGCTTCATCTGTCCTCACTGCTGCTGTAACAGTAGAGCCCAGCTGTTGTCAGTAACACACACGCTCTCTAAGAACGTTGAGAGGGACTGTGACAGAAAAATGAGCACCAACCTTTAAATCATTTAAACTTGAATCTCGGGTTTGAAATCCACACCCACTACTTACTAGTGTGATACCCTACAAAGGACAAGTTCTCGTCCCAAGTCTTAGTTTCCTCAAGTGAAGATAAGATAATGCCCCATCCTCCATCCCGGGCTGCCATAAGGATTAACTATGTGGGAGGACCTAGCAATGGCCCTCAAAAGGCCCTAATAAGCACTCTTATCATTAGCCCCAGGATCCAGAGGAATTCAAAGTGCAAGGGCAAAATAGTTTATTCACCTTTAGGCATGGTCCTTTGCAACCCAGCCTCAAAGAAAAGCATTCACACAAAGTAGGCAAGTGACCATGGCAGAGCTGGGGAAGGGACACCAGAACCAAATAGGGAATGGAATGTATGAGTCCTATTTCCTGCTGTCAGATTGAGCCTGAACGTGCTTTCTGCTGGGTGCCACTTGCATTGCTTGCTGTGCTGTGAGATGCAGGAAAAAAGGGCAAATGTGAACCGTGGGTGACGCTGGGCTGAAAATACTGTTTGTTGCCAAGGAAACATACGGAGCAATTCATAAGGCTAGGGTACTGATTTCAGGAACTCTTTGAGACTAAGCCTGTTCTTTCCCTGAGTTTCCTACAGCCCCCAATTGTGCTGAGAGAGCTGATTACACACTAGCACTGCTAATGCAGAAGAAACTTGTGTGCCCACAGGTCAATGCCACCCACTGTTAACAAGCAAACTACATGGCTTCCAACCACACAGCGTTTCGATGTTTATTGTGATTTCATCTGCTAAATAAAGTAATCTAGAAAGCTTGGCCACTCAAGAAAAAGACATTGCAAGAGTGGCAGCCACAAATAATGCTTCTCTTAAAAAACTCAATACTTGGTTAAACAGGTTGCAATCTGCCAGCATTCAACAGCAGCCCCAGAACACTGATGAAGATGACTACACTCCTCTAACCTAATGAATGCTAAAATATCTACATTCTCAGCTGATTTGGCTCTTATATTCAAACTCATTCATAATCCATGGAGTTGGAGGGATATATATTTTTTTCCTAAAGGATGACCAGTAAGGGGATCTTAACCCTTGATTTGGTGTTGTCAGCACCACGCTCTCCCAAGTGAGCAAGCCGGCCATCCCTATATAGGGATCCAAACCTGTGGCCTTGGTGTTATCAGCACCACACTCTCCCAAGTGAGCCACGGGCCAGCCCTGGAGGGATTTTTTTAATTAACTTTTAGCAAGGATATTACTAAAGCCAATTTAAACCAAAAACCAGGTTTTATTTTACAACATTTTTAGATAGAAAGACTTCATTTTCTTAGAGATAATAAAGCAGAGAAATACAAAGAAGACTTGACCATAAACAGAGAATGCAGCCCTGAAGAGTGACCTATAATTTGTGGTAAAGGCTAAATGTTCAATTTGGTCTGAGTAGTGGCTGCTTTTGAAATAATCCATTTGTTCTTTTACCACACACTCCAAGGTAGCTCTAACTCCTAAAGTGAACCAAAAGTCTATTAAAATAGTAACAAGAAGAAAAGTACACGTACACACACACAGTGCTGTGCCTGCTTGGAAATCCAAAAGTTCAGCATGCATCCGTGGGTTACTTAGCAAACCTTTTGGAGCAAAGGCCAAGCAACTGCCTTTTATGGAGGGCAGCTAACCTTAGAAGCACGGAGAAGTCACCTCTTTTGTGATATGGAGGTTAAATCTCATATAACAAATTGCTGGTCTCTATGGAGCCTTGACAAAGCAGGAGTATAATGGGATTCCAGACGTGGCCTAACAGAAACGGAGCCATGCAATTCTCCACACTACATTCCACTGTGAAAAAGACCACATTTAATACGTTGCGATCCCGTTGCCGGTCCCCAGTACGGGCGCGACACCGAGCGTTGCGATCCCGTTACTGGTCAGTAAAAAAGACAAAAAGGAAAATAATAATAATAATAATCCTTCTTTCCATTTCCATTGATCTTGTTTTTCTCTCCTTACCTGTTCATATTCTATTAACATCATTGTATATGTCTTTTCTTGATATGCTGCTTCAAATTCTTTTGGGAAAGAGGCCGGGTATAAATACATTTCAAATACAGACCAAAAAAGGAAGAGAATATTGCTATTAGTTTTAGTATATAAAAGAGGGCATCTTTGCTCTCATGGTTCACTTTAATCAAAGAGCAGTATTTCAGAGTTACCTAAATTAAGATAAAATATATGTATTAAGATAGAATACACCAGTAGCAGGCCTGGACTCACTGATTTTAGAAGCCTTCAATTCTTTGATTTTATCGAGAACAGACATATTCTCTAAATATAATCCTGGTCACGGTGATGGTTAATTTTAGGTGTTGACCTGACTGTATTAAGGATACCTAGAGAATTGGTAAAGCATTATTGTTGAGTGTGTCTGTGAGGGTGTTTCCAGAAGAGACTGCAAGTCTGAGTGGACTAAATAGGGAAGATCGGCTGTCGATTGTGGGTGGGCACCATCCAACTGGCTGGGGGCCTGGATGGACCAAAAACACAGGAAAGGTGAACTGGTCTGTCTGTCTCCTGGAGCTGGGATACACTCTTCTTCTCCTTGAACATCAGAATTCCAGGCTCTCCAGTCTCTGGACTCCAGGACTTACACCAGCAACCTCTGCATTTTCAGGCCTTTGGACTTGGACTGAGCTGTGCTTCCTGTATCTCGGGGTCTCCAGCTTGCCAGATGGCCAGCAGTTGGACTGCTCTGCCTCCATAAACAAATGAGCTGATTCCCCTAATAAATCCCCTCTCATGTATCTATATATGTATCCTTCTGGTTCTGTCTCTCTAAAGAACCCCGACTAACACTGTCACCTTCATTAGTTCCACGCTAGCAAAAAACAGCCCCGAGCTAGGAGATTAGAGATGTGTGTGCTTAACTATGTGATCTATAAGTCATTAACATCTGATCACCTTTCTCTCTTCCCCCTTAACATGAGAGCAGCTACTACTTCCCCTACACTACAATTCTTACTATGTGATAAACTCATACTTGCTTTTAAAAGTAAAAATGCGATATAACCGTAAGATATTAATGTCACATGCCTTAGAAGTCTAAGTGATTCTTTTTCAAGAACCTAAGGACTTCTTTACACGCATGGCCAAAATTTCTCTTACCAAATTTATAGTTTCTTTGATAATAACATGATACAGGTAAGGAAGCTACATGACACTCAGAGTTGCAGGCACCAAATAATGAAAGAAAGCATTTCTGTACATAAAACATTATTTATACCTGTCTTCACTTTTTACATTAAGACGTAAACATCCTCTTATCCAAAATAGCTAGTGAAAAAAACAAAACAAAAAACAAATTAAGCCTTTAAAAATAGCTGGTGAGGAGTTTTCAAGTGTTCTTGCTCAATGGATCCAAATATCAAACATTATAACTCATTAATTCAATGATAAAGAGGTAGCTCCTGAACCAAACTGGTAAGAGAGCTATGAAATATTAACACATAGCAAAATCACAATTAACCAGAATGCTCCAACTTCCTGGTTAATTGACAATTTACAAGAAAACTCTTTGTTTTAACCATTAGTCTAGAAAACCTTTCTAAACTGAACCACTTCACTTTCCTGGCTCAGTAAATACAAAACACTAAACATAATTCAACGTTGTTTTGATGATTTAGAATCACATGATAGTTTGGGGTATCTCTCAGAATACACATAATTTCTGTGCATCCTGTTAGAGGCAGAAAACTGGAGTAAATTAGAGTTTCTTGTTTTAGATAAATCCCTGATATCATAAACTTATTGTCTTCCTTTTACCTCATTCTTCTAAAAAGGATAGTGCAGACAAAGTTTCCAGTTAAGCAAGATTGAATAGTTCTAGACATACCCTCACATATACTGGGGTTCAGGAAAACAAGGCAGTTCAATGATTTTATCCTCTAGACTATTTCTTCTACCTAATAAATATGTCCAGTAACATGAATTACAATGTAATGGGGTCCACTGTTTTTCTGGGTGATATCAAATTTCAGTAGCCTATGAATTCCTTGTTTGGAATTTTTATTTAAAAAACAAAGGAAAATTACTCATGATTATGACTTCCAAAACCAGGAGAGTAGTAGATTTTGCTAATAGAATCAAACTGTGCTTCCTATATTATTGATTCATAACTGCTTGAACAATCTTTATACTGGTATCAAAAAGCAAGTAAGTTTTCTCAGATACTAGGTGCTTAACTTCTCAAAGCCATAAAATAATAAGAGTTGCTAGGAAAGTCACCTTCTGATTCTCTTAGTACAGTCCAGTGTTTCCATAGCACAGGACCCATGACACTGGTGGCACACAGATTTTAGGTGGTGTGCAACACAGAATTACATAACACTGAATCACAGTGAGAATGTCATTCCCTTCACATTTTTCTTTTATCCTCTGATTATTCCACAGACGGAGCCTCATTCTGGTGCTGGATAACATCTCTCTCACCGTCACAAAGAACAAGCAGGTCTCTTAGATTCAGAGCCTTGGCAGGCATTAGTGTTAACTAAAACTTAGTAACATTCTATGTGTTAATTTTGCTGATTTTGTGGTTTCCTTTTACCTATGGCAAACTGATACTGGTTTTCCACTTGGAGGGAGATTCATTTCTTTTTAAAATACTTTAAAATTTAAAAGATAAATATTAAAAAAATAATAGTGTATGCAGTACACAAGTGATTAAACTTTGGGAAACAATGGCTGTAGTATAACAAATCATATTTTTAAAAAGTGATTTCAAAAGAAATGACAAATGCGGTCTAGAAAGGAAACATACATCACTGTATTTCCAATATTTGTGGTGTTCCAGACATGAGCTTACCATAGCCTTCTGCTACACATCAGGTGATTTCTGGAGTTAAGATTCTAGCAAAAATATACAAGTGAAAGAACCAATTCCACACCTTCCTGGACTTCATAAACTTTAGGTACCATAAATGTGCAAATAATCTGACATTTGGCACAGTCATTTGTTTAAAACATAAACTTTCCAATTTCTGCAGCATCTTTTTATTTGGTCTATACTAATGCCTCACAAAGGCAAACTCAGGTTGTGAGTTCCTGCTTGGTCCTCATAGCAAGTACCACATCTATTTTTGATCAAACTCTTCAGCAGGGATTCAGGACTGCTGGCCAGGTCTTCCAGTGGCATCTGACTGTTCTTCCACTGTTATGGCCCTTCTCTGAATAGTAATCTCATGGCCAACATTCTTCTGAGAGGAGTTTTCCTAGCAGGTCTTACATGCCCATAGGCATGCCGTGTGGATTTTTAAAAAGGAAATATGGAGAGAAAGGAAGCAGAGCTTCTCATTTGTGGTGAATAGTTTCTTCATCACAGTGGCAGTTAAGATATGTTCTCTCCTTTTCCCCCTGAAGCAAAACAATATGTCTGAAGGATGGTGTCAGACATCATAATCAGGCGCCTTGCCCTGGGCTTGCCTTAGCCAGATCTGTAGTGTAACAAATGCTCCCACAGTCACATGAAAGAAAAGCTGCCAGAGGTTGCGCAGTTCATAGAGATACATGTTGCATAGACAAATTAAGCCAAAAGTCAAAAAAGATTTGACATTCCGCCAGCCGGTGTAGTAGACAAGTAAATAACACTGTTCAAAATATAAAAATGAAAAATGATTAGGATTATAGGAAAAGAAACAGATGTTTATAATATAAAATTGCAACAGGTCAGAGAGTAAAATATAAGAACGGAATAAGGGTATTTTTCATCTAGGGATAAGATAATGTATATCTAAGACATTCAGCTATGAAAGTTCCAAAGCTTGAAAGGGCAACATATTTTTCCTTTTATGTTTTTCACTTTTCAAAATAAAAGCATTTTGTATCATATTTTAAATGGAAATATAATTGAATGACTCCCTTGCAAATTTCCCACAGGTGAAAAGCAACTAAGAAGCATTCTCAGGGTCAAAGGGGATTCCATTCTCTCCCAGAAAAGTATAAATAGCTCTCACAAGCTATTCAACCAAATGGACTCTTAAATAACCTGAGTCTGAATATTAATGAAGTCAACAGAATTTTACAGCCTCCCATTGAGTGCAAGGAACTATGCTAGATGCAAGATCTGAGTGAATAGTTGAGGGAGAATTCATTTAATGGATGTTTATTGAGGCCCTGCAATAGGTCAGGCAACGTTCTTCAGTTATGAGTAAAACAAATAAAGCCCTTGCTCACACAGAGCTTACATTTTAATGGGGAGGATTATAAATAATACATAATATCAAATAATTATATCTGAAAAAGACAAAAGATAAAGCAGAAAAAGGGGACAGAGAATGATAGTGAGTGCTATTTTAGATGAGATAGTAATGAAAGTTCCTCCTCTCCCCCATCCTGGCTTTCACCCTTTCCTGCTTTTTTTTTTTTCTCCACAAAATACTATAAACATACTTGAAAAATGTGCTTATTTTGTCATCTACAGCCTTTCAATAGAATCTAAGTTTCATGAGGGGTCATGTTTTACTGTTCTGTTCATGCATTTATTTCCAGTGCCCAGATAGTGCCTGGTACACAATAAGTGCTCGATAAAATGTGCTGAATGAATGAACTGTATTCTAGAAGATGTCTAAAATTCATAGTCTGGTAAGTAAAGGAATTATATGTGAGATCACAAAGCCTTAAGAGAGAAGCACAGGTCTCTGTGTAAAATTGTATCCAGACTTCAGAATGGGAAGGACATTAAGCTGTGTGCAACAATGCAGAAAGAATGTGGACATGTTCTGTTAAATGTGTTTCATTCTTATACAAATTAGGACTTTACCCACTTAAAAAGACTGTTAGCCAAGCAAAATGAATTGGAAGCATTTATTTTATCTTAGTGATTTTCATTGCGGAATAGAATGTTGAAAATGAAAACCCACAAAAAATAACTTTTTCTTTTGAAATAATCTTAGAGTTAGAGAAAAGTTGCAAAAATAGTAGAGTCTCCATACATTCTTCAAGTTGCTTCCACTAATGTTACCCTCTTATATAACCATAGCATAATCATCAAATCAGGAAATTAAAATTGAGTCAACACTATTAACTAATCTACAGATTTTGTTCAAATTTTGCCAGTTGTCCCACTAGGGTTTTTTCTGGTCCAGAATCCAATCCAGTATTCTGTATTGCATTTAGTGGCCATGTCTCCTCCAACCCTAATAGCTCTTTGTTATTCATGACCTGAGGTCTTTGTTATTCATGACCATGACAGTCTTGAAGAGTATTAGTTAGTTATGTTGTAGAATGTCCCTCAACTTGGCTATGTCTGATGTTTACTCAAGATTGAAATGAGGATATGCACTTTTCGCAAGAATACCATAAAGGTGATAATGCAATATGTCTTATTACTGGTGATGTTAATTCTTTTTTTTTTTTTTTTTTCCCTTTTTGTCTTTTTTCGTGTCCGGCAACGGATCGCAACCCTCAGTGTCACGCCCATACCGGACCGGGACTGGCAACGGGATCGCAACCCTTGGTGTTGCTCCCGCACCTCGCTCAGCCAGTGAGCGGGACCCAGTCTGTACGTGGGATCTGAACCCTCGGAGGGAGCGCCACCGCACTCCCAAGCGGCGCACTGTAGCAGTGCACCACCGGGCCGGCCCCTGGTGATGTTAATTCTGATCAGTTGGTAAGGTGGGTGTCTGCCAGGCTTCTCCACTGAGAAGTTACTATTATTTCATGTGTAATTAGTAAGCATCTTGTGTGTGGGGGGAGAGTATTTTGAAATCATGTAAATATCTTTTCTCCTCATACTTTTGCCTACTAATTTTAGCATCCATTGATGATTCTTATCTGTAACAACTATTACTGTGGTGTTTGCCTAATGGTGATTTTGTATTTCCATCATTCTATCTACATTTATTAATTGAAATTCTACTATAAAAAAAACAGCTAACTTTTCTACTATTTTAAAAACATTAATGTTTAATTTGTGGTTTTCAAGGGCTTTTAAAAGTAATGATTTTTACCCCACAGATTACTTATTAATTACAAAAAAGAAAAAGATACCTTTGCAATGAAGAGATCTGGTAGACATCATCTTAACTAAATGATTAAAATTATTACATGTTTCTTGACTGATGCAATGAGAGATATACAACATACTATACTATATAGTACTGTTGCCAAAATACTTAACCTGAACCTAATCATGAAAAACATATGAATCCAGAATGTGGGTTATTCTACAAGGTACTTGCCTGGACTCTTAAAAAAAAAAAAAAAGGTCAATGTTATGAAAGGCAAAACCAAAACAAAACAGAACAAAAACAAAAAGGCCAGGAGACTGTATTACAGATGAAAAGATACACAACAACCGAACGCAATGCATAATTCTGGAACAGGGAGAAAACAGCAATAAAGAACATTTCAGAGACAAATGAAGTAATCTGAATAGAAATCCTATATTAGATAATATTGTGTCAATGTTCAGTTTCTTGGGTGGGATATGATATCATGGCTATGTAGAAAGATGTCTGTGTTCTTACAAGATACAGCTGAAGTATTTAGAGTATCATGTGTGTGTAACTTACTTTAAAAACAATTGTACAGGTACTTCTTTTTCTGGGAAGATGGAGAGGACATACTGTCTCCTATTCTTCCCACTAAGTACAACTAATAACACTGGACATTATATAAAACAAGCATAAAAACACTCTGAACAGTGGAGAGACGAAGGCAGACAAGCTGAGGACCTTGAGACCTAAGGAATGACACAGTGGTAACTTCCCTGAGTAATCTTTGTGTTTCATATATCCCAGAATTGGAGCTGAAAAAGCTGGCAACTAGAAATGCCAATGGATGCAGACAAAACAAAAACAAAAACAAAAAAACTTCAATTAGATCTTACTCTCTCTAGCAAGAGGCCAGAAAAGAAGCACCTTAAGAAGATGGAAAACTTTTAGACAACAACTCTTATATTCTAGCCAAACACTACACAAAAAACCTGACCCACACATACCCACACTGAGTGGGGAGCCTAGAACACTTTAAGATATTCCAATCCTTCAGTGTGGCTTCAGAGAAGGCAAGTAGGAAGCCATAACTTTAGTTCCCACTAAATAATAATGAACCCCTCCCCTATCCTCATACAATAATGTCAGTAGAGACCACACGGAATTCTGGATATCCACCTCCACTTGGCGGTAATGAGGCAATGGATTTCTCATCTGTAACGAGAAAGTGGCTTTCTCATCAGAAACCAAAGAGGCCAGAAAAAAAAATGGAACATTTCTCAGGTGCTGAAAGAAAAGAGCAGTCATCCCAGAATCCTGTAGTCAACAAGAATATCCTTTAGAAATGAAGGGAAAATAAAGACAGTCTCAGACAAAAGACTAAGAATTTGTTGCCAGCAGATGTACCCTACAGGAATGGCCAAAGGAAGTTCTCTAAACAAAAAAGAAACAATAGAAAGAAGGAATCTTGTGTCATCCAAAAAGAAAAAAGAATATGGCAAGCAAAAATATAGGTATATATAACAGGCTTTCCTTTTCCTTTTGAGTGTTCTAAATTAGGTTTGATGGTTGAAGCTTATTATTATAATACTGTCTGATGTCATTCTAAATACCTGTAGAGGAAATATTTAAGACAATTATAAATAGGGGAGGGAAAAAGGAGTATAAGGTGGTAAGGAGTCTACATTTTATTTGAACTGAGAGAAAGATGACAACAGATTATGGTAAGTTAAATATGTATAATGTGATACCTAGAGCTACCATTCAAAAAGAAGGGAAAAAGGAGTATAAGGTGGTAAGGAGTCTACATTTTATTTGAACTGAGAGAAAGATGATAACAGATTATGGTAAGTTAAATATGTATAATGTGATACCTAGAGCTACCATTCAAAAAGATATACAAAAATATATACTCAAAAATACTATAGGTAAATTGAAATGGAACTCTAAAAAAAATGTTGAAGTAACCCACAGGATGACAGGAAAAAGAAAACAAAAATAAAGAAGAAAACAGAAATTAAGCACTAACATATCCATAATTACATTAAATGTAAATGGCTTAAATACAGCAATGAAAAGACAGAGACTGGCAGAGTAGATTAAAAAACATGAACCAGTCTGGCTGGTTATTTCAGTTGGTTACAGTGTGGTGTTTTAACATCAAGGTCAAGGGTTTGGATCCCTGTACCAGCCAGCTGCCCTCCAAAAATAAATAAAAATAAAATAACATAAGATAACATAAAATTAAATTAAATTAAAAAGGTCTGGCTGGCTAACTCACTTGGGAGAGCATGATGCTAATAACACCAACATCAACGGTTCAAATCCCTGTACCAGCCAATTGCCAAAAAAATGAAAAACAAAACCATGAACCAAATCTATGTGATAGAGTTTAGATGTGTTGTCCCCACCAAAACTCATGTGGAAATCTGATCCCCAATGTGGCAGTGTTGGAAGCTGTTTGAGTCATGGGGGGTGGATCCCATGAATGGATTAATGCTCTCCCTAGGCAGGGGTGGTGGTGGGGGGAGGTGTCCTGAGTGAGTTCTTGCTCTATTAGTTCCCATGAGAACTGGTTGTTTAAAAGACATTGGCATCTCCCCCATCTCTCTCTTGCTCCCTCTTGCCATGTGATCTGCTTGCTGCCTGCCACT